TTTTACAGATTGGAAAATATTTATTACAGATTACAGGTAGGATTTGTTTGATTCTGCTATTCAATGAATATTTATATGAAGAGATCATTGGGCTAATGAGACTATGAAACGTGCTCTATTTAAATCGATTGATTTAACTTTAAAATATGTTCAAGTGGTAGGAAAGCATGGTGGTTTAGATCTGCTGTTCTTTCATAATAAAGTTATATTTTACACAATAAAGAACATTAAGACTTATTATGAATGTTACCAAAGACAGTCTGTGAGGTTTACTTGAATGCATTATTTTTAGCTACTCTGTATCTGAAGGCCAAGTGATATTTGTAAGTAACATTAAAACTATTCACATGAAGAAAAGTGGTTTTTTTATGTTGGAAGGAAGTCGGAGTCATTGTAAGACGTTTGATTAGTATTCATGGCATAAAGGGAAGTTATTTTCAGGGTGAAGGAATTTGTGAAAAGATAATTGGTTAGACCAACATTCTCATTAACCTAATTTGCATTAAATATGCTACTTTGAATTGTAGTTATTGCTTTTCCATTTGAAAGGCATGCTTTGTTAACTTATTTAAAGAGCCTAGTTAAACTACAGTTTAAGTCATACCCTTTAATTCAGCAATACAATATCAAACTGAGGATCTGTTATCACCAACTTTGTGACTGTGGAGAATCATAAACCAGTTCTTAATCCCAGTGGATTTTCCTGATGAAGTAGGTTTGTTTAGCTGCTTTACATCTAGTCATTCTCATATACTGAAAGCATTCGACTTATCCTTTAGTTTAATTTTACTCGTTTATAAGAGCAGAGGAAACTATTTCCTCTGTGACACAGCATAAGAAATAACTGAAGGAGTCTTGGGGATACTGCAAGAAAATAGTTATGCCTTTGTTCTAATAGTATGAAGACTTTGAGGATCATTTGGTTTACTTATTTTTCAATAAAACTTCTTTACATATGTAACTAAATTGAGCCTTTAAAATATGAGCTGTTAAAACATATTAATTTGCATATTTTCATACCCATTTTAAAATCATGAGACTGAAGAATGAATTTGGATTTCTTTAATTTTCAGCATTAGCTGTTACTTATTAGCAGTATTCTAGATATTTTGAAATATCTAAATGTTAATGTCAGTGCTTAATTTTAATTATTTGCACTTGTACTGTTTGGCACTGGTTGTTTTCAAAATAGTAATATCTGGAGACTTTGAATGTAAACCAAAGCCTAGCTGATCAGGCAAGGTTCTGTGTCAGCCCAGTAATGCTGAACAATGTTGGATAACTCTAATAGAATAGAATCGTTTAGGTTGGAAAAGATGTTTAAGGTCATCAAGTCCAACCATTAACCTAGCACTGCCAAGTCCACCACTAAACCATGTCCCTAACCAGCACATCTGCCTGTCTTTTAAATACCCCCAGGGATGGGAACTCAACCACTGCCCTGGGCAGCCTGTTCCAGTGCTTGACAACCCTATCAGTGAAGAAGTTTTTCCTAATATCCAATTTAAACCTCCCCTGGCGCAACTTGAGGTTATTTCCTCTCATCCTATCGCTTGTTACTAGGGAGAAGAGGCCAACCCCCACCTCGCTACAACCTCCCTTCAGGTAGTTGTAGAGAGCAACAAGGTCTCCCCTCAGCCTCCTTTCCTCCAGACTAAACAACCCCAGCTCCCTCAGCTGCTCCTCATAAGACTTGTGCTCTAGACCCTTCACCAGCTTCGTTGTCCTTTTTTTGACACGTTCCAGCACCTCGATGTCCTTCTTGTAGTGAGGGGCCCAAAACTGAACACAGTATTCGAGGTGCAGCCTCACCTGTGCCGAGTACAGGAGGACGGTCACTTCCCTGGTCCTGCTGGCCACACTATTTCTGACACAAGCCAGGATGCTGTTGGCCCTCTTGGCCACCTGGGCACACTGCTGGCTCATGTTCAGGCGGCTGTCAGCCAACACCCCCAGGTCCTTTTCCTCCCGAC